CCCTCCCTCCCTCTCCTCTTTCTTTCTCTCTTTCTTTCTTTGTTTCTTTGTCTTTCTTTTCTCTTTCTTTTTCTTTCTTTCTTTCTTTCTTTCTTTCTTTCTTTCTTTCTTTCTTTCTTTCTTTCTCTCTTTCTTTCTTTCTTTCTTTCTTTCTCTCTCTCTCTCTTTCTTTCTTTCTTTCTTTCTTTCTTTCTTTCTTTCTTTCTTTCTTTCTTTCTTTCTTTCTTACTTTTTTCCTCTTTTTCTTTTTTGACAGAGTCTTGCTGTGTTGTCCCGGCTAGAGGGCAGTGATCTAATCAGAGCTCACTGCTGCCTCAACCTCCTGGGCTCAGGCGATCCTCCCACCTCAGCCTCCCAAGTAGCTTGGACTACCAGCTAGGACTCCCAAGTAGCTGGGACTACCACACTTAGCTATTTATTTATTTATTTATTTTGTAGAGACAGGGGGTCTCACTATGTTGCCCAGTCTGGTCTCGGACTCCTGGGCCCAAGCCATCCTCCTGCCTTGGCCTCCTGAAGTGCTAGGATTACAGTTGTGAGCGACTGTGCCTGGCCAGGATTTTCTTACTAACATTTTCTTTTCTCTAGCTCACTTTATTATAAGTCTATAGTATATAATACATATAAGATACTAAATATGTCTTAATTGAATGTTTATGTTATTGGTATGGCTTCCTGGTCAACATAAGGCTATCAGTAGTTAAGTTTTGGAAGAGTCAAAGGTTATGCCCAGATTTTCAACTGCGCGGGAGTCAGTGCCCTAACTCTTGTGTTATTCAAGGGTCAACTGTACAATCATTTCCCTGCTTCCTGGCTGAGATGATTGAGACTGAGGGAGGTTATGAATTCTGCCCAAGGCCACTTGGTTGGCAGGGGTACCACTGGAGACCTGCCTGCCCCCAAAGGTATCGTCCTAATTATTCCTTGAATACTTCTTCAGCTCTGGTTTTCAGGCCACTGACATCAGAATTACCTAGAATCAGAGCCCCACCCCGGACTTATTAGATTAGAATTCCTGGGGATAGGACCCAGAAATCCATATCTTAGATGAGATCTCTTGTGGTGATTCTTCTGTATGGAGAAATTTGCGAATTTCCTTGTTTGCTGCCTTGCCTTTCTGACTCAGTGAAACATGGCCCTTGGGTCCCAGCCAAGAAAGACCACTGTTCCTCCGCGTGGGCAGTGGTGAGTGTTCCTCGGCCTGCCCCTGTCTCGATGCATCATAAAATGCCACTTCACTTCCGTAACCAGAGAAGCACAAATAAGCAAATTCATGAATCATGGTTTTGTTTATATTTTGGTTGCTGTGGCTAAATATTTATTGCTTTAAGTAAGAGGCTCTGCTTTAATTAGAGTCATAAGTAACCACGAGTGCATAGAAATGCATTCTCATGGCCATAAGACATGCATTTCTCGACAGAAAGCCGAAGGCAACTAACACTTTTAACGTGCCAGTTCCCGATCAAAGTATGGAAGCTTATCTAAATGAATGAATAGTGTTTGAAATTGAAAAGTGATTAGAAGTTTCATTTACGGATTATCTATTGTTCTTACTTACTATGACTTATAAGGTCATATTTGTGACGCTGTGGCATAGAGGTATAAAGGCGTGGGCAACAGAAAGCCTGCGGTGACGATGACCATTAGCTACATTTAACTTTGAAATGTGCTGTGTTCTCTTCCCTATCTTGCCCCTTGCCCTCTTTCCCTGGGAATGGGTGCTCTCCGCACTAAACCCCAGGAGAGTTTTAGAAGATCTTGATGTCAGAGCCTCACTGCAGGCTGATTAAATCACAGTCTCTGGGAAAGAGACTTTGGCATGGGTATTTTTTAAAAGCTCCCCAGTGATTCTAATACATATTCAAAATGGGAACCCCTGCCCTAGGTTTAGTGAGCGAGGGTGCTGGCTGTGTAGTCAGACCGGCATTCAGATCTTGACTCTATCATTTTCTTTCTTTCTTTTTTTTTTTTAGACAGAGTCTCACTCTGCCACCCAGGCTGGAGTGAAGTGGCTCAATTTTGGCTCGCTGCAACCTCTGCCTCCCGGGTTCAAGTGATTCTCCTGCCTCAGCCTCCTGAGTAGCTAGTATTACAGGCATGTGCCACCACGGCTGGCTAATTTTTGTATTTTTACTAGAGATGGGGTTTCACCATATTGGTCAGGCTGGTCTCACACTCCTGACCTCGTGATCCGCCCGCCTCAGCCTCCCAAAGTGCTGGGATTACAGGCGTGAGCCACTGCGCCCAGCCGGCTCTATCATTTTCTAGCTATGTGACTTGGGGGCAAATTACTTCGCCTCTCTGAGCTTTGGTTTCCCCATCTGAAAAATGGGGACAATAGTAGCTAACTTGAGAGGGTGTCATAAGGATTCAATGAGATAATGCCAGGAAGCATGTATCTTTATGCTGAGGAGCACTTAACTTGGTACTTAGTAAGGGCTCAATAAATAGGAGATGCTATTGTTGTTATTAATATTATGTTTAATTTAGAATAACTACCCATTAGTGGGAGCAGGTATTACTGAAGAATATTGGGGGATTAGGAGTAGCTACCTTAGAATTCAGCCTTTACTGGTGCAGATAAAACACAACACGCCTGTTTAATACAAGCATATGCATCTCATAATGAGACTATACAACCCTAGGGGCTGATAGAATGCTAGTCAGATCTTTGTAAGTTTTGTCCACTCCTAGAAGTACCAGTGAGAAATTGGAATTTATAGCAAGACGGTATCTGCGTTGTGGGTGATACATAAATATTTAAGAATTGCTTGTTCACACTCTAGACCCTTTTAAGATGAATCCCTTTAGAATACAAGATCTGTGGGCCTGTGATCATTTGCACGGCTGGCATATATAATTGTGTCTTCCTGTTAGAGCCAGAACCCAGGGTGTAGCCTGCACTAGCCGACTAGTCTCTACAACAGAAAGAGGGGATTGCTCCTTAAGTGACCACACTAAGGGACTTCTCTCAGCCAATCTTTTTCTTTCTCCTAATTCCTGAATCTTTTGCAAGGAGATTGTCTGCTTTGTTGACTACACCTGTTTTATAACTAGCCGGATTCCTCCAAACCCCTCCAGCTTTCAATCCTTTGCTGAAATAAGACAAGCACATTGAAATGTTTTTCTCTGAAGAGCGTATTCGGAAAGTCAGTCAGCTACAAGAGAGCAAAACAAAAGGTTGTGGCAAATGAGAAGAATCCCTAGTGGTGAAGACCGAGTAGCAAATTTATTAATTAAAGATCAGTTTACCCTTCTGGAAACATCCTGGAGGCAGAGACCAAATCCTGTGTTCAACCCTGGTGCCACTGCCCACCCCAGTGCCTTCTGGTGGACTAATAGACCTAATGGCTTGTTTCCTGGAACTACAGCCTTGATCTTTCCTTAGCATCTGGCCTCGAAGGTTAAGCAAGACTATTTGAATATTGTACACCATGGACATGCAGATAAACAGGCTCCCCGGTTTCACCCACCCATACCCCAAGCGTCCACAAAGATGCCCCCATGGGGGTGGAAGTATCCACAAAGCCCCAGCACATGCCTTTGAGCGGATGCTTCCTCCCTGCTTTTTGGCCCTAAGCTGAAGCGTAAGTCATACATTCCAAAGCCACGTGGAAATGTGTCTTATGCTTGTTGGAGTTCTGGATTCTCTGTTCCAAGTGCGTGAATAAATTGGAGGGAGCTATATGTATTTATGGGAGACGTGGTTCTCGATAGGAAGGATGTATTTGAGAAATGCTGGGCTAGATCAAAGAGCGTCTCACTCAGCCTGCAGAGACCCCAATTGGATTTTTGAACCCCACACCCTTAAACATAAACAGTCCCTAGGACGTAAGTTATTTTGTGTTTTGTTTCTTACTTCAAAACTTGAGGGACTCCAAAGCTGGTTATGAAAAAGCCCTAAGAATGCTGAGCATTTCCCGTGTGGTGTGCTGGGCCAGGGACATCAAAGGTTCCATTTGCAGCAGTGCTAGCACAGGGCGACAGAAGCCTTCATCTTGTTCCTCCCCATGTTCCTCCCCACATAATTGCTTTTATTATTCACACCAACCAAACAAAGGGAAATTGCATGACCACAGTGTGTGTGAGCCACACACAGCACTTGCGTTGGAAAGGCTGTGCACACGCTAACTTTGTGGGATCCTTGGCCCTTGGCTCAACCAGGATGAGGGTGGGGTGTGTGTGGGGGTGGTGGGATGGCCGTGGTTCATGCAACCCAACATGTATTCAGGATGTTTCCATCAAACATGACCTCATCTCTTCCAGCCCGCTAGCCATCATTATTATGGTGGTCGCTTTTGACTTAATGGGTACAAAAATAATTCCTTTAATAACCAAAGTGGAAATTCATAGATTGCACGTAGTTGGTACTTACCTCCCCCAGGAGGCAAGAGGTTGGAGCTATTACTGACACTGTCTCCATAACATCAGTACAACTCATTAATTCAAGGAAAAACAAAGCAAAGCAAAACAAAATAAAGCCATAAAATCCATGCCAGATCGGTTCTTGGACGTTGAGCAGATCAAATAGCTTCAGAAGTTTCCTTCTTTTTCTCTTCTTTAATAGTTGTATTTCTTCATCCTAAACAGTCACATTATGATCACTAGGAAGAGAAATTCACTCACTCAACAAAGATTTGTTAAGCCCCACTATGTCTTAGGTGCATGAGACTGATGAAGTCTCATGATGTTGAGACATACAACATGCAAATCAATAAATGAAAAAAATAATTTACAGTGGGGAAGGTCTCATGAAGAAAATAAAATGAGGTGATTCAGTAGAGTGAGGCAACGTTTTACATCTGAAGTCCAGTAAAATAAAAAGCATATACTGAAAGACACTAGCTAGTTGAGGGAAATAGCTAGTTACCTAAAATGTCATTCCTTTGTTGGGGTTATTGGAAACTCAGAAAGGGGTTCTCCCAGAGGCTAACTCTTAGCTGAAAAGAAATCTGGAGTTATCACCATGGGTGAACCAGCTGCTTCCCCTCCTCTCACAGGGGGAAGTCCAGCCAAGCAGACGACCTGGGAAGGAGGGCACCGGGTCCCGGCACTGGCTTACTGGCCTGGCAGAGTTCCAGTTAATGTCACCAGCACTGCCTTGTTAAGGTATGAGACCCAAACTACCTTGAGATGTCGGCGCCCAGAGCAAGAAAAGTCATGGAAGCATGGGTGGCTAGATGGAGGCATGGGTGGCTAGATGGAGGCATGGGTGGCTAGATGGAGGCATGGGTGGCTAGATGGAGGCCTCAGGAAGGTCATTCACCACTTGCCTTTTCCAGGTGTTCCCAGACACTTCCAAGACTGATTGTAGAAGCGATGAAAGTAATAGTGAAGTGGGGCCACGCGTGGGGGCTCACTTCTGTAATCCTAGCACTTTGGGAGGCTGAGGCAGGAGGATTGCCGAGGCCAGGAGTTTGAGACTACCCTGGTCAACATAGCAAGACCCTGTCTCTAAAAAGAAGGGAAAAGAAGAGAAGAGAAGGGAGGGAAGAAGAGGGGAGAGGAGGGGAGGGGAGGGAAGAGGAGGGAGAAACAGTGAAGTGGGACTTGAGCCATCTTCTGGGAATAATGCCTGAGTGAAGAAGGGATTGGTTGGTTTCACGTACATCAGCATTGGGTCCTGGCTGTGTCTGCTGGAGAGAAAGCCGCAGAAAAGGCGGCAACAGCAGCATCTCCCCTCTCAGCCTGGGCCAAGCTGACCGAGGCAACAGATCTTTTGAGCCCTGATTATTCCATCCTTGGGGTTAAGACAGGTGTCTTAGGGGTGGCTGTGAGAAGCCGGCTAGTCTCTAGCGATCCGATGGCCCCAAGAAAGGAGTCCAGATGTCCACTTTCCCTGGAGGAGGGTGGAGAAGAAAGGTGGCCCCTCCGGGCCATTAGGGAAAGAATGCATCCTTAGGTGAAGACATTCCTCCTGCCTCCGGCCATGAAGCTGCTCAATGAGCTAAGTGTCTGGGTGCTTCCTTTATTAGAAGGAAGCTCGCTGCATAGCTCACTGCAGACCCATCACATCAGGTCAATGTGGTGTCTCACCATGACTGTTATCCCTGCATTAAGGCAGATCCAGGAGGCCATCTCCATGGCAGAGCTTGGCTGTGCAGCGTCTACGTGAAAGCAACGTCTTCCCAGCTATGGAACTATGACTTATCCTGTGGACATTTCACTAATTCAGAGAGGACCTTCCTCTCTGTGGTTCTGCCCTGTGTTCACTAACAAGGCGGACCCTCCGGAGAACCCTGTGCTCATTCGTGTGCTCAGAAAACTGCTGGTTAAAGACCAATTTCCTAATTCCAGAGGTTCTTTGCAATGAGCCCAGTGAGTCCTGGCGTAAAGAACACAGCTGAGTAGAGGCAGGCAAGCTTTCTTGGCACCCTCTGACTTCCCGAGATCCAATGGGGAGGAGGGGAGAGACTCAAAGTCCAGGGGAAAAGGGGAAACAGCTCTGAGGGCCAAAGTATGGGGTGGGTGGGCGTCAGCCCTGGCAGCCTGTGGGGCCCCCAGGAATTCCGGGTCAGCCCTGTGCAGTCAGGAGGGGGCAGCGTGCTGTCAGCGGGCACCAGCAGGTGTGACAACAATAGCAGAGCCTGGAATCTGTGATGTCAGGCTGCCTGGGAAAAGAGCCAGGCAGGCTGCTTTTTATAGGGCTGACTTGGTGTAGTCAACGCGCTTATCAAGAGGGGCCAAGTGTTCACGGGCTGGGCTGCACGTGGACAAGTAACTCAGCCGTCCCTCAAGTTGCATCACAGAAAGTCAAGCAGTGTCTTCTCACTGGAGAATGGTGTTTGCACCTACAGTCAACCGTGATAAAACTGTCTCATCTCGTTGATAATGTAAGGCCTTAGAGAGACAACGGACTGAGGGGATGGTTTGGTGACCCAAGGCAGCGAGTTCTTGGTACAAGGCAGTGTCTGCCTGAGGGCCCCTGGAATTGTACCAGGACAATATCAATACACCGTATCAGCACCTCCTAGGAGATACATTAGGTTGGTGCAAAAGTCATTGTGGTTTTTGCCATTACTTTTAGTAGCAAAAACCGCAATGACTTTCACACCAACCTAATATATAGTGTATCTCACACACACATATATACATTTTATTTATTATTATTATTATTATTATTTTTGAGATGGAGTCTCGCTCTGTCGCCCGGGCTCAGTGGCCGGATCTCAGCTCACTGCAAGCTCCGCCTCCCGGGTTTACGCCATTCTCCTGCCTCAGCCTCCTGTGTAGCTGGGACTACAGGCGCCCGCCACCTCGCCCGGCTAGTTTTTTGTATTTTTTAGTAGAGATAGGGTTTCACTGTTATTATATTTATTTAAGAGACAGGGTCTCACTCTGTCGCCCAGGCTGAAGTGCAGTGCCGAGATCATAGCTCACTGCAGCCTTGAACTCCTGGGTTCGTGTAATCCTCCCATCTCAGCCTCCCGAGTAGCTGGGACTACGGGCATGCGCCACTCTGTCTGGCTAATTTTTAAATTTTTTGTAGGGACGGGGTCTCTTAATGTTGGCCAGGCTGGTGTGGAATTCCCAGTTCCAAGCACTCCTCCCTCCTGAGCCTCCCAAAGCACTGGGATTACAGGCATGGGCTATCACACCCAGCAAGGCTAGTTTTTGGTATTAAATTAGGCTGGACTTCAGCCAGTCAGTTTTACCTCTATAGATTTACCCTCTAGCTGTTTCCCATGTGAATTCATGTTAAGCAAATTTGGGCGGAGTTTCCTTACTGCCTGGGCAGGCTGTGTGTGTGTTTCTGTTTCCCTTGACACCTCAGGTTCAGCTCGACAGAGAATGGTAGCATGATCCAAATTCAAGACATTGATGCTAATGCTTCATGCTGTTGGGCCCAGCCCAGCACTCCCCTGTGCCCCGCCCAGACTGCGTATCACCTACTCTCATTCTATTGCTTGAGGAATATAGATCTTCCAGATCAGAGATAACTCCCTTAAGCCACTAAGAGCTAAAGCCAGAGTCCCTTAAACCTATATCCTTGAGGCCCTGAGGAATTATGAGCATCAGAGAGGGGTCAGGTTGCTATAAATATGAATACAGAAAAGCAAAAGAGAATGTATGGGAGAGGGGGTGGGGGATCCATTCACATGGATCCCATTGGTTTTAGAGATAACCAGTGTTAATATCGGTGTGCACCCGGGTGATGTCATAAGATGAAAGAAGGGCTTTGCACATGACCCGCCTCTACAGGCACAAGTACAGAATGGGGAAAAGGCATTTATTCCACAGATATTTATTGCCATGTCCAACTCTGGGTCAATCATTGCTCCAGGGACCGGGGAGGTGGCAGTCATGAGCAGACCAGACAGAAAGCTCTTTCTTTAGGGGCTACCTTACCTTCAGGAGGGCAGGGCTTTGGCAGCACATGTGAAAAAGTTGCAGTAGTTTTAACCTAAAACTGTGATGCAGGCTTCCCAACTGTGGCGTGGTTGAGATTTTGGACTGGATCGCTCTTTGTTTTGGAGGACTGTCCTGTGCGCATTATGGGATGTTTAGCAGCAGCCCTGACTTCTACCCATTAGATGCCAATCGTATCCCCACCCCACCCCCTCAGTTGTACAATTAAAACGTTTCCAGACAGTGCCAAATGTCCCCGGGGAGGATGAACTCACTCTGGCTGAGAACTATGGCTTAGCGGAAGCTCTCTTAGCCATATACAAGAAGGGGAAGGGCCTGCTCTGCCTCTGAGCTGGGAGACCCCCATCTCTGCTCTGAATGAGGATCCATCCTTCAGAGATGAACTGGGGCAAGTATGAGGTGAGCAAAATGTCAAAAAGGACTTGAAACAGTCTCATTTGAAAAACAGCTAAGGCCAGGCGTGGAGGCTCACACCTGTAATCCCAGCACTTTGGGAGGCCGAGGAGGGCGGATCATGAGGTCAGGAGTTCGAGACCAGCCTGACCAACATGGTGAAACCCCGTCTCCACTAAAAATACAAAAATTAGCCTGGTGTGGTGGCCTGTGCCTGTAATCCCAGCTACTCAGGAGGCTGAGGCAGGAGAATTGCTTGAACCCAAGAGGCAGAGTTTGCATTGAGCCAAGATCGCGCCACTGCACTCCAGCCTGGGTAACAGAGTGAGATTCTGTCTCAAAAAAAAAAAGAAAGAAAGAAAGAAAGAAGAAAGAAAGGAAGGAAGGAAGGAAGAAAGAGAAAAATAACTAAAGCTGCTGTGTAGCCAGAACAGGTAATCCCCTGGGCTACCTCGAGACCCCTTCCTTCCTTCCTTCCTCCCTTCCTCCCTTCCTCCCTTCCTCCCTTCCTCCCTTCCTCCCTTCCTCCCTTCCTCCCTTCCTCCCTCCCTCCCTCCCTCCCTCCCTCCCTCCTTCCTTCCTTCCTTCCTTCCTTCTTTCCTTCCTTGATGGAGTTTCACTCTTGGCACCCAGGCTGGAGTGCAACGGCATAATCTTGGCTCACTGCAACTTCTGCCTCCTGGGTTCAAGTGATTCTCCTGTCTCGTGCCTCAGCCTTCCCAGTAGCTGGGACTACAGGCATGCACCACCACACCCAGCTAGTTTTTGTCTTTTTAGTAGAGAGACTGGGTTTTATCGTGTTGGCCAGGCTGGTCTCGAACTCCTGGCCTCAAACGATCTGCCCAGCAGGCGAGGCCTTTCTGCATCCTCCTTGCCACTGCCCCATCTCCACTCCTAGGTTCCTTCAGCAACTCCTTGGATAAGAACACAAATATGCACCCTTCCTACGAACAACCTTCGGAGCCTGGGCTGGCCAGTGCCACAGGAAAGAAAAAGTACATATTTTCATAAGGGCAATGCAACCTGCAAAGATGTCACCCTGCCCACTCTGAGGACAGCCTTTTGTGCCATTGTGCAGAGGAATCTCAGCCCTCTCCTGTCATCATGAGTGGGCTCATGGCTGCCCTCGTCACGACCAAAAAGCCCACTGAAGTGGGGTTTCATCCCATCAAAGGCCGGGAACCGCTTCTCCATCAGACCCATGAGGCACAGTGCCAGAGTCCACGGAATTTTGGAATTTTTTTTTTTTTTTTTGAGATGGAGTTTCCCTCTTGTCATTCAGGCTGGAGTGCAATGGCACGATCTCAGATCGCTGCAACCTCACCTCCTGGGTTCAAGTGATTCTCCTGCTTCAGCCTCCCGGGTAGCTGGGATTACAGGTGCCTGCCACCATGCCTGACTAATTTGTTTTGTATTTTTAGTAGAGACAGGGTTTCGCCATGTTGGCCAGGCTGGTCTTGAACTCCTGACCTCAGGTGATTCACCCTCCTCGGCCTCCCAAAGTGCCTGGCCTTCTTTTTTTTTTCTTTTTTTAATGGAGGAAGAGACCCATGAAGGTAGAAATGACTTCCTTCACTTTCATGGACTGTGGAGCCATGAAAGCTGGAATGTGGCTCTGCCAAAAGTCAGGCATCGAAATGAACAGGGGCAACTTTAAAGTATAGGTTTGTATTTATTTTGTCTCTTTCTCTGAGGTTTTAAAGACTCCCAGGCCCAATTTCTTCGGTGGAGTTTGAGGTTTGGAGTAGCTGGGGTGCCCTTGGCACCCTTAGTAGGGCAGATGCTTTCTTCAAGTTCACATGTAGGCTGGGGGCGCAGCCCTGGGATGACACTGGGCTGCATGTGCCAGGGAGTGTCTCCCTTTTCTAGGGCTAAGCTCAGGGCCTTGGCTTTTTCTGTTACTTAAGGAAGGACTATTTGACAGCCCCAGCTTGCCAAATTGGGATGGGGCTGCCTTGAGTGGCCTGAGTCACTGGACATGTTGAAGCTTTTCTCATGGGCGAGAGGCTTTCTTTGGGCTCTGGGTGGACTAGGTACCTCTGAAGTTCTTGCCAAAGTCTGAGACATTAGGATTCCGTGAACATTAGATTTAGTGCTATATAATTAGGATGCTAAACCCCAGGAGAGAGCGGTGGGGGGAAATCAGATGGAAAAAGAAAGTACACAATACTTTCCAAAATCGAACGCAGATCTTGTTTCTCTTGCTGACTGATTTGACCCATCTGTGACGCTGATCTCTCTTAGGGGCACAATTTAGAGAAAACTTGATCAAACAGCTCCAAACCACCGCGGCCTTTTCAGACTGCTTTGCGGTCCTCTTTGCTTTCCGGTTGGTGGCAGGAACCTTGGACTCTGGACAGGTTTCTGGACTGTTCCGTGCTCTGTGAGTGCTGACTCTGCATTCTTGACTTTGCATCAGAGTGGGATGCCAGGTCCTGGAGCTTGTTTCTTAAGAGATAAGCCACCAGCTCCATGGACTGTGGGAGAGAAAGGCAAACAGAAACACTCTGTACTATAGTCACTGGAGAGATTCTGCCTGGGGTTGTAGGTAGAGCCCTGCAGAGGAGGTGGCCAACAGGAGACGGAGCCTCAGAGCAGGTCCTTTCTGCAGCCCCCTTACAGGGCAGATATCCCCCCAGCCCCTCAGATATCTGATTGGGGAAAGTGGGGATCTGTGGCCCTGGAGGCTTCCCTGTGAACGGTGCATGCAAAAGCCTGAAGTCTGCTGCTGCGCCCAGCCTCAGGGCTACCAGGGCATCTTTCTTGGGAAAGTCCAGCTTCCCATTAGCTCAGCCCTCCTGGCTCCAGTAAGCCCCGCTGACTTCCAGTTGGCCTGGCCATCAGATAAACGGCTCTGTTGAAGGGGCAACCTCTCTGTTTTGCTGAAGACTTTTTTTTCCCCCAACATGAGCACAACAGGCTGGAGGAGGATGTGCCACAGGTAGAGTAACCTTACACCATATGACTTAAAAAAAAGTCACATGAGCAAAATCCACTAAAATACAAACAATGGCTGCCTTTGGGTGATGGACTAAGTGTGTGTTGTTCTCTCTTATATTTCCGAATGCTCTCATTTTTTCTACCATAAACATTCACTTTATTTATTTATTTATTTATTTATTTATTTATTTATTTATTTTTAGAGACAGAGTCTTGCTCTTTCACCCAGGCTGGAGTGCAGTGGTGCAATCTCGGCTCACTGCAACCTCCACCTCCCAGGTTCGAGCCATTCACCTGCCCCAGTCTCCCAAGTAGCTGGGATTACAGATGTGCACCCCCACACCCAGCTAATTTTTGTATTTTTACTAGAGACAGGGTTTCGCCATGTTGGCCAGGCTGGTCTCAAACTTCTGACCTCAGGTGATCCACCCACCTCAGCCTCCCAAAGTGTTGGGATTACAGGTGTGAGGCACCGCACCTGGCCGCATTCACTACTTTGTTATGGACTAAAAGAGCTAAAATAAAGAGGGTGGAAAGTTTCACATATCATGGCGTTTTGAACAAAAACTAAATCTTTTATAATACAGAGACCCACCCAATGGAAAATGCAGTGAATATTCTCTTGTGGACACCTGTCCCACACTGTTTCTAAGCAAATGGCTGTCACCAAGCTGGTGACAGGTAGAACCCCTCAGTTCTTAGGTGGGCTCACAGGGATTACCCTTGGGAATCATTAACACATAAACATCCAGTGAGTCCTTTCTGAGTGCCAGGTCTTCTCTGTGCTTTACATGTGTGTTTCATGCCCACAACCACCTGTAAGCGGGCACCAATATGGCAGTCCTCCTTTATCCACGGTTTCACTTTCTGCAGTTTTAGTTACCTGTGATCAACCACGGTCTAAAAATATTAAATGAATTATAGAAATGAATATAAGTTTTAAATTGTGCACATTCTGAGGAGTGTGGTGAAGTCTGGCACCGTCCCATCCCCTAACGCCCAGGATGAGTCAGCCCTTTGTCCGGTGGATCCACACTGTATACGCTACCTGCCTGGTAGTCACTTAGTAGCCATCTCAGTTATCAGATTGATTGCGAAGGTATAGCAGTGCTTGTGTTCCCGTCATACTTATTTTTAATTACTAATGACCCCAGTGTGCAAGAGTAGTGATGCTGGCAATTCGAATATGCCAAAGAGAAGCCGAAATGTGCTTCTTTTAAGTGAAAGGTGAAAGTTCTTGACTTAATAAGGAAAGAAGGCTGAGTGCAGTGGCTCCTGCCTGTAATCTCAGCACTTTGGGAGGCCGAGGCAGGTGGATCATTTGAGGTCAGGAGTTCAAGACCAACCTGGCCAACATGGCAAAACCCCATCTCTACTAAAAATACAAAAACTAGCTGGGTGTGGTGGCATGCACCTGTAGATCCAACTACTTAGGAGGCTGATGCAGGAGAATTGCTTGAACCCTGAAGGCAGAGGCTGCAGTGAGCCAAGGTTACACCACTGTACCTCCAGCCTGGGCAACAGAGCAAGACTCCATTAAAAAAAAAAAAAAAGAAAAGAAAAAAAGAAAGGAAGAAAGAAAGAAAGAAAAAGAAATTATATGCTGAGGTTGTTAAGATCTATGATGAGAATGACTCTTCTATTTTTTTGTTTTTTCTTTTTGTTTTTTTGTGGTAGAGATGGGATTCTGCCCTATTGCCCAGGCTGGTCTCAAACCGCCCATTGTTCACATGGCCATTGTTCAGCCATTATTCACACTTTGGTGGATTTTGTTCATGTCAGAACAAAATCAACTGATCCACCCACCTTGACCTCCCAAAGTGCTGAGATTACAGGCATAAGCCACCAAGAATGAATCTCCTATCCATGAAATTGTAAAGAAGGAAAAAGAAATTTGTGCTAGTTTTGCTGTTGCACCTCAAACTGCAAAAGTTATGGCCACAGTTCATGGTAAGTACTTAGTTAAGATGGTAAAGTCATTACATTTTTGAGTGGAAGACATGAACAGAAATGTGTTCTGATTGGGCGCAGTGGCTCATGTCTGTAATCCCAACACTTTGGGAGGCTGAGGCAGGAAAATCACCTGAAGCCAGGAGTTTGAAACCAGCCTAGGCAACATAGCAAGACCTTGTCTCTACAATAAATAAATAAATAAATAAACAAATAAACAAATAATCAATAAAACAACAAAGAAATTTTGTAGGTGTGGCGGTACATGCTTGTAGTCCCAGCCACTCTTAGACTCAGATGAGAATTACTTCAGCCCAGGAGTTCGAGGTTACAGTGAGTTATGATCACACCACTGCACTCCAGCCTAGATGACAGAGCAAGACCCTGTCTCTAAAAAAATAACGAACAAACATGTTTGATTTATGACAATCAGGTTCGGTACAATCCAAGGTTCCAGGCATTCACTGGGGCTCTTAGAATGTCTCTCTCTCTGATACGGGGGCGACTACTATATTATTAAAATATCATATATATTTTAGAGAATTGAAAACTGAGGCATTGAGAAGCTAGATATGTGGCAGAGCTGGGATTTGAACCCAGGCAACACCTGGCTGCAGAGCCTGGGTGCTGAACCACTGTACCATTCTGCCTCTTGTAGGAGCAGAAATCCAGGTGGAACTGAAAGGAAAAACAAACAGGTAGAGAAGGTAAGCCAGGCCATAGGAGAGGCTGTCGGTGCTTGCTCTGGGCTGATTCAGGTGGGTGTTGACACAGCAGGGTCAGAGAGTGAGTCAGAAGAGCTGGGGCCAACTCAGTCTTGTTATTTCTGCAGTGTGCTGGACATTTTTCCGACTGTGGTAGCGCTGGCCCAGGCCAGCTTACCTCAAGGACGGCGCTTTGATGGTGTGGACGTCTCCGAGGTGCTCTTTGGCCGGTCACAGCCTGGGCACAGGGTAAGTGGAAGAGGCACGTGCCCACACGTAGGCTCTTTAGGAGGCTGGTCTGCTGCCTCTCACCTCCGTGCAGACAGAACCATCCTCAGAAGATGCAAACAAGTGGCTGGTTCAGACCCCAAAAGGCGAAGCATTTGAGATGAGCCTCTTTCCACCCCCAATCCCCAGTCCAGATTTATATTTAGCAATTTGGCTTAGGGTAGGTGTATATAGGTTCTCACTGCCTATAATGGGCAACGTTTCTGGCATGTATTTAATTTAATAACATAACTACCCAGCATGTTTTGTTAGATGAGATGACTGACTAGTGTCTGCAACTTGTTTATTGTGGGCCTCTCCCTCTAGAATGGAAACTTCTTGAGGGCAAGAATCTGAGCCATCGAGTTCAGCTCTGAGTTCTCACTGCCTGCAGTCAGCGAGCATTCAGTCCACGCAACCCGGATGAACCAATGAAGGACCAAATGAACAAATGGGTGAAAGACCCTTTGGACGGCAGGTCCAGCAAGGACCTTACATCTAACATTCTCCCAGCTCTAGAGGGCTCAGCACACTCTCTGTAGCCTGTTTTTTTGTTTTGTTTTGTTTTGTTTTGAGATGGAATCTTGCTCTGTTGCCCAGGCTGGAGTGCAGTGGCGTGATCTCAGCTCACTGCAACCTCTGCCTCCCGGGTTCAAGTGATTCTCCTGCCTCAGTCTCCCAAGTAGCTGGGACTACAGGCCTATGCCACCATGCTCAGCTAATTTTTGTATTTTTGTATGGGTGAGGTTTCACCATCTTGATCAGGCTGGTCTCGAACTCCTGACCTCAAGTTATCAGCCTGCCTCGGTCTCCCAAAGTGCTGGGATTACAGGCATGAGCCACTGTGTCCTACCTGCAGCCTGTTCTTGACCAAGCAGTCCTTGGCAATGGCTTTGGGCTTCCACTTCCCAGCGTCACCTCCTTAATGTCCCCTTTTTGCACTCTGAAGCACTCATTGGCAGTGACAGCCAGGAAATGTCAGGCCTCATGGCCTTTCCTTGTAATTTCCCTGTGTTTTCCTTTCACCAAAAGGAAGAGGAAGCAGGAGGAGGCAAGGAGGCGGAAGGAGCACAGAGTCCCTTCTGCGACGCCCTGCAAATGCATGGCTTCTTGATGAGGGACCCACACATCAAAGGGTCTATTTATGTCTTTGCTAAGGGTCACATGGAAGTGACTCAAATGTACACAAATGTCCTGTGGCTGGTAGTTATCAAAGCTGCCCTTCCCACCCAGCCTCCCCCAGCAAACCAAAACATGAGTCTTCTATGGGCCATCGGCACTTCTGTGCACATTAATGCAGTTTTTAGGGGTTGTTGGATGAGATCTGAGAGGTCTTCTGAAGTCCTGCTTCTCCCCAGAATATCTGCCCCATAGAGCTGCAGACCCTTCCAGGCCTAGCCCTTCTCCCTGAGCAGGAGCAGCCAAGCAGGAAGATGGTTTCCGCCTTGTGGTTGGAAGTTAGCAGTATGTGACCCTGGAGGGTTGTCACAGACGTCATTGGAGAGGTGCTCTGGAGTGTTTATTACCATGGCTGCTAGGAATAATTGGGGTCATCAGGAAGTGCTTCAAGGACTGTGGTCTCCTTGACGTTGTCGGTACTGCCTGTGGAAGCCAGCTCCTTCATGTACTAACTTCCTTTCTCAGACGGGAGAGCTCTGCTCTTGCTCTAACTGGAGTTTTGCGCAGGCTCCCAGAGACCCCATCCTAACTCGTGCCCAGCAGGGTTAGGCCCAGGAACCAGACTGGAAAACCAGATACAAGTCACAGCATCGTCGTGGGAATGTATGATGGGGTGATTAATGCAGCTGGAGTCAGGACTGATTTGCTCCCTAACCACACCCCATGGCCCAGAAAGAAACAGCCACGCTTACAGATTGTGGGAAGCAGCTGACGGTATCTTCAAGGTTAAGAGCACATGGGGCTGGCACCTGTGGGTCACACCCAGTCTCCCAGAGCATAGCTGCAGTGTCAGCAAAGACACTTGAGAGAAGATTTTGAAGTTTGAGGACAACATGGGTAGTCGCTGGACCTGAATTTGGGTTTGGTCTTCTCTGGTCAGTTCTCTCTATTGAAGCAAAGTAATAGGCCTAAAGAAATAAGAGTAAATTGTCTCAAATTTGGAATAGCTATGGAGGAGGCTAGAAGGTAAGAATACGAGGAATTATATATATACACACACACACAATATGCTATACATACCCACATGTATGCATATGTGTGCATGTGTCTATACATGTGTATTATACATGTGCCTGCATATTCTAGACATGTGTATGCATATGTATGTTTTGTTTTAATTTAATTTTGTTTTATTGTATTTTACTTTTTGAGATGGAGTCTCACTCTGTCACCCAGCCTGGAGTGCAGCGGCACAATCTTGGCTCACTGCAACCTCCACCTCCTGGGTTCAAGCGATTCTTCTGCCTTGGCCTCCCAAGTAGCTGGGATTACAGGTGCACGCAGGCCCAGCTAATTTTTGTATTTTTAGTAGAGACGAGGTTTCACCATGTTGGCCAGGCTGGTGTCAAACTCCTGACCTCAGGCGATCTGCCTGCCTCGGCCCCCCAAAGTGCTGGGATTACAGGTGTTAGCCACTGCGCCTGGCCTGCATATGCATGTTTATATACCATGCATGTATACACATGTAGGCATATGCACATCTGTAAACATACATGTATACACATGTATGCATATGCATGCGTATACCATACATGCATACACATGTTTGCATATGCATGTGTCAATATAAACATATATATGCTTATGTTCATACACTATACATGTGTACATATGTATGCATATGCATGTCTATGCGCATATATTTATACACATGCATGCACACACATACATGTATACATATGCACATATCCAGGCACATACATAGAGATATACACATATATTTATATGTATGTGTATGCACATGTATACATATGAATATACATGCATTTATCGATATACACATACATATGTGTACACAGATGCATATGTCTGTAACACATGCATACATGTATACATATGTATTTTTAAAGAAGCACAATTTGTATTCACCCTCAGATACATCCTGGACTTACAAGGATTCCAATATGAGTTGGTTTAGAAATAGTTTCAGTTCTAGAAGCTCAAAGTAACTCCTGGATATTCAGCTGGAAACAATATGCCAACGCTTCTCAGCAATCCGGTCCTTCCCTGTGGCAAACCAAGTAACCAAGAGCTAAGGAGAGAAGCAAGAGAGTTGAGAGGTGTCATGCGCATAATAGGCTCCGGTTCTACACTGGATGGTCTTCTCACAACCCACTCCATCAACCTCTAGGGGCGTTGTGTGGTGATGTTCAAAACCACAGCAGCTGACACCATGCTGCATGTTCGTGCATCAGCTCAACCTCCTGCTTCTGATCATGATGGGTCTGTGTCTAGGCAGTGAGGGGCACCCAGAGAGAGATGAGGGCCGGGAAGGAGAGGGCTGCACAGCCTAGAACCAAATGTCCCACTTTGTGCTTTCCTGACTCCCAGATGGAAGCTGAAGGTTGTAACATCACCACTGGTTGGGTTGTGTCTTAGCCCCAGGTTGTCATGGTCAGGTCCAGAAATTGTCAACGAAGGAACGTTTCCCCTAACAGCTCTGCACCTGCCCAGCCTAACACAGTCTGGGGCTGCTGTAGGTCATGAAATGCTTGGCATGCCCCTGGAAGCCATACATTGAGGAAACAAGCTGCCTTTTAACGTCCAGAACGCCCATCGCTTCTCTTAGAGAGGCCCCTAGTGGCGAGAGACATCCTCTGGGGTGGCTGGCAAACTGATCACCCCCATCCACCGCCTTTGGAGGCTGTGAGCTGCGCATCCCCACCTGAATGGAGAAGAAGCCCACCTTCAGGGAATGCTATATCAGCACCCTGTAGGACCTAAGGTAAGGGAACGCTCTTGTGCTTAAAAAACAAAACAAGATAAAATAGAACAAGAAAGGCCACCAGGAAGGCAAAACAAGTTTGCAGAAGATAAAGTCATCTTTGAAATTTGAACCAGGCATCTGGAGAGCAGTGATTCATGTGTACTTTTGACAACTTCCTTCCTATGTTGATATAAACAAGAAAGCCATAGTGGGTCTGCTCACATGAAAAAAAAGAATGCATAGACAAATTGCCCAAAGTCCATCTATGTTTCCGAGAATGAGCCATCCCACAGTTTTGCTTCCTCGTGGATTTTGGAAGTTGCCTCTGGTAACGCCACATAAATAGTGGGAATATAGCAGCCCACCCTCATGGAATTTCTGTGACCAAGACCCAAGTAGTGTGACCGATCTGAAGCAGTGAGCCTTCACTCCCATCTTCTGCATGTCTGAGTGCATCGTGTGTCAGTTGACAATAGATTTTCCAAATCTCCCACTTCCTGCTGTCTCAAGAAGGAAACAAAACGGTCTCCTGCGGTGAAGAGGCTTGGCTTTCTGCGGGGATGGAAGAAGTGAGGGTTTTTAGTTACGACTTCTTTTCCTGTTTGGAAGGAACCTGCTGTCATCACGCGCGCCCTGGATATGTGCAGGGATTGTCACGAGAACCTGGAAGCTGCAGGTGTGGGGAGGAGCCCTACCTCGGCAGCATCCTCTCGGAGCTGTGAAACTCGGGGAGACAGCTGTTTACTGCTCCAACAGATGTTTCTCATTTTTTAAAAAGTCTCGTGGAAACTTTGAATCATGTAAGTGCCTTTCCAGCCCTATATACGGTTGTGATTCATACCAAGGCAGTCTCATGCTTTTAGCCCAGACCCACCAAACTACCAAGGACGCTGGCCTTTTATTTTCTTTCACATCCTTCCCTCGAGAACCCTGATTTAGGTGTTTCCATTCTGTAGGGTAATTCTTTTATTTGTGACCTGATGAGGAAAGATTTCCTCTGTCCAAATATAGTCGGATTGAGTCATAGCTGTGGGCGTCTGTGACCAGAGTCTGGGCTGTGCCTGATTCTGGGGAAATCAAGGATGCCTTCTTTTGTACCATCCTTGCTCAAGGGAGAGTTGGAAAATTGACTTGATGCGAAAGAAGCCTTTCTTCAAAGAGATCTGAGGGTCACCTGCATCAGAATCCCTGGAAATACTTGTAAAACAAGTAAGTCCCCAGGGCCCATCCTGACCCTGAGGCGTTGGAACTCAGGCAGGGTGGCCTTGTGGGCCTGTGACTGGTGCTCCACACACAGAGCCCCGCACTTGGAGGGACCCTGCACTTGGTTTAAAGCTCTGCCGTGGTCATCATGAAATTTTAAGTTTGTGAACAAGGTATCCCTGATTTGCATTTTGCTGCGGACTCTGCAGATTACATAGCAGGTTTCAGGCCTAGAAATCTGACCTACCTAGTGAGACCTTTTGCCTCCTCTTCCGGAGATGTAACCCACTCCCTTCCATTAACTAGCAAAATAACAACTTCACAGGCTCCCTGGATTTGGCTGCTGTGGACTCCAGGCTTGTGTCTGTCAGTGTTGGTTTGGGCACAGGGATAGGGAGACCAGACCCTGAAAAAGACAGTAATATTTTCCAGGGAGCATCCAGCATCATCTAGCATGTTTTTTTGTTTTGCTGTTTCGAGACAGGGTCTCGCTCTATCACCCAGGCTGGAGTGCAGTGGTATGGTTATAGCTCACTGCAGTGTTGACCTCCCACGCTCAAGCAATCGTCTCGTCCCAGCCTCCAAGTAGCTGGCACCACAGGTGTGCACCACCATGCCTGGTTAATTTTTGTATTTTTTTTTTGTAGGGAGGGGTCTTGCTGTGTTGCCCAGGCTGGTTTCAAACTCCTGGGTTCAAGTGATCCTCCTGCCTCGACCTCCCAAGGTGTGGGGATTACAGGCGTGAGTCACCAAGCTCTGCCTATTTTTCTATTAGTAAGCTCTGCCACCCTTTCTCAGGTGCTGTTCCACCCCAACAGCGGGGCAGCTGGAGAGTTTGGAGCCCTGCAGACTGTCCGCCTGGAGCGTTACAAAGCCTTCTACGTTACCGGTGAGTGAGGGGCCACTTAGCCCTGCCTCCCACATGCACAGCTGCACGGGGACCCCGTGGACTCTCACCCAGGCCTCTGGGAATGAGTGTGAACCCCTCCTTTGGGGGGGTTCTCAGCCCCTCTTGACAAGCATCTCCTCCAAACCCAGGGTCCCTGCACAGGCCCTCTGGATCCCCCATATGCAAATAAGGTCTTTGTGCTATTCACCTGAATTTCTAGCGAGCTGGGGGCTCTCAGCACCTTTATTCAGCTCCTTTTCACATACAGAGCGTTTCCTATTGTCGTGCTTTAAATGCCAGTTTGGATGAACGTTAAATGGAAGCCTAGAGATATTTGAAAATGTAATTTACTTGACAATAGACTGTTTCAGAAAATAGATTTTAGAGCACTAGTTAGCAAACCGACAGAAGTCTCTTTGCTTCTTGGTTCACTGTGACTATCTATCTCTTAGATGTATATTTTAGAATGTCATACGGGATCAGCATGGTCCTCAGGGTCTTCCGGTGGCTTCTTGCTGCCAACCGAATTCAGACTCTCAATCCCGAGTCCTTCTGTCTTTCCAGCCTTAGTTTTCCAAGAACAAGTCTCCTCTTCCTTGTTCTCCGTATTAAAACCCTTTTAAGCTTTTATGGCCCAAGTCAAATGCCACGTTCATAAAACTCTTGCTTATCTTCCCAGCCGGGTAGGAATTCTGGAGAACTCTGTTATCTCTCACTTTCTGCCACGCATGCCAGTCATTTAGGTACACGTCTTATTTCCTGTACTAGTTTTGTTGTTGTTGTTTGTTTGTTTGTTTGTTTGTTTTGAGACAGAGTCTTGCTCTGTCGCCCAGGCTGGAGTGCAGTAGCACGATCTCGGCTTACTGCAAGCTCTGCTTCCCAGGCTCACACCATTCTCCTGCCTCAGCCTCCCGAGTAGCTGGGACTACAGTCACCCGCCACCTTGCCCGGCTAAGTTTTTGTATTTTTAGTAGAGACGGGGTTTCACCGTGTTGGCCAGGATGGTCTCGATCTCCTGACCTTGTGATCCGCCCGCCTTGGCCTCCCAAAGTGCTGGGATTACAGGACTGAGCCACCGCGCCCAGCCCGAACCTGTACTAGTTTTAAGCTTTCTAAATTCAGAACTCTTTCAGTGCTTTAATCTTTGTTGTCTTGAAGTGCTTAGTACACTTAGTAGGAACGCTACAATTTTTTTTAAATGAATGAAAACCAAAAAATAAAAAAAGGAAAACCTGTGACCTAATGCAGATTCCAGCTTGATTCAGTTATTTAATGTTGGAGCTTTTCAAAGAATTATATAAGAAAAAAATGATTTTCCCTGAGTGTAAATAAGTGATCCTGAAGAAAATGTGGCATAAAAACGAAACATGACTTGAGGGGTATTAAAAATGTCACAGAAATCTTTGATTCTCTAAAACCTAAAACTCGAAACAGTCAGATATGTGTTGTTTTCAGCTGAAAAGTTTCTAGATTAGAGTCCTTATATTACATTATCTAAGAGGTATGGGCCTTCCAGACTGAGTTAATTTCACAAGTAATAGTCCTGCCAGAAAGCCCTTGGCACCACAACGTTGGAATCATACATGTTACTATGAAGTAATAGGGCTATTTAAAATGATCACAATCAGATACGAATTATAACACTCAGGGGAGGTCTGCTCTTCTAAGGAGTCACCAAACTTCCAAGAGAGTCTGGGTAGGGAGCACTGAACTTTTAATCCATCAGTGAAAACTGGGAATAGGATGAAACAGCAGCATGTTCTGATTCCTTCTTCCTCTTGCTTCTAATATTTGCATTTCAGTTACTTACAACTGCTTTTGGATAAGCTAGATGAATTGACATCTACCACATTAGATTAGAGAAAAGATGTGTTTTTCTATGATGAGGATATGATGTTATGGTCATGCCCTGGGAGTGACCTTAAAAAGACAACCAGTCTGTTTTGGGATGTGGCCTAGAATTCAGGTGTACCTTATTGTTCTTCTTTTTAAAAACCAGTTAAGGTAACCTGTACACAAAGTGAAAGGCCCAGATCTATAATGTATAATTTGGTGAGGTTTTATAAATGTAGATAGCTGTATATGTACCTCTTTAATGGTGTGAATTCCATTGATTCTTTTTCTTTTTCCACTGATTGATTTTCAAATGTTAAGCCAACTTTACATTCCACGATAAATCCCATTTAGTAATGATGTATCATACTTTTTATATCTTGCTGATTTTGATTTGCTAAGATTTTGTCTATAATTTTCCTTTCTTGTCTGTGTCAAGGTTTGGTATCAGGATTTTGCTGGCCTTATAAAGCGAGTTCAGAAACATTCCCTTCTCTGTTTTCTGAAAGGGTTTGTGCAAGATCAGTATTATTTCTTTCATGTTTGATTGAATTCATCTGTGATATGATTTGCCAAATTCATTGTTGTGAAGATTTTGTCATATTTTTTAAAAAGAGTGTTAGTATTTTAGGTCTTATATTTAGATCTCTGATCCATTTCCAGTTAATTTTTGTATGTGGCATAAAGTAAGGGTCCAACTTCATTGTTTTACATGTTGACATCCAGTTTTCCCAGCACCATTTATTGAAAACACTGTCCTTTCCCCATTGCATGGTCTTGGCACCCTTGTTAAAAATCATTTGATCATACATGCGAGGGATAATTTCCACTGTCTATTCTATTCCATTAGTTATATGTCTGTGTTTATGCCAGTACCACACTGTTTTGATTACTGTAGACTTGTTGTAGTTTTGAAATCAGGAGTGTGAGTCCTCCAGCTTTGGGCTTTTTTTTTTTTTAAAAAACTGTTTTAACTATTCTGGGTCCTCTGAGATTCCATGTGAATTTTAGGATGAATTTTTCTATTTCTGCAAAAAACATCATTGGGATTTTGATAAGGATTGTACTGAACCTGTAGTTCACTTTGGGTAGTATTGACATTTTAAAAATAGTAAGTCTTCCAATCCATGAACATGGGATGTAACCATTTATTTATGGATTTCCAGTTTTATTCCACTGTGGTCTGAAAGAATGCTTGATATAATTTCAATTTTCTTAAATTTATTGAGGCTCATTTTGTGGCCTATCCTATGGTCTATCTTGGAGAAAGTTCCATGTACTGTTGAATAGAATGTGTATTCTGCAATTGTTGATTGGAATGTTCTGTATGTATCTGTTAAGTCCATTTGTTCCAAGGTATAGTTTAAATTCATTCTTTGTTGACTTTCTTTCTTGATGACCTGTCTAGTGCTGTCAGTGCAGTATTGAAGTCCCCCACTATTATTGTGTTGCCATCTATCTCATTTCTTATGTCTATTAGTAATTGTTTTATAAATTTGGGAGCTCCAGTGTTAGGTGCATATATGTTTAGAATTGTGATGTTTTCCTGTTGGACAAAGCCTTTTACCATTGTATAATGTCTCTCTTTGTCTTTTTAAACCACTGTTGCTTTAAAGTTTGTTTTGTCTGATATAACAATAGCTACTCCTGCTTACTTTTGGTGTCCATTTGCATGAAATGTCTTTTTCTACCCCTTTAAATGTATGTGAGTCCTTATGTGTTAGGTGAGTCTCCTGAAGGCAACAGATAGTTGGTTGGTGATCTTATCCATTCTGCTGTTCTGCACCTTTTAAGTGGAGCATTTAGATCATTTACATTCAGTGTTAATATTGAGATGTGAAGTACCATTTCATTCCTCGTGCTATTTGTTGCCCATGTACCTTGGTTTTTTGTTTTTGCTTTTTAAATTGTATTTTTGTTTTATAGATCCTGTGAGCTTTATGCTTTAAAGAGGTTCCATTTTGATGTGTTTCCAGGATATAGAGCTCCTTTTAGCAGTTCTTGTAGTGCTGGCTTGGCAGTAGTGAATTTTCTCAGCATTTGTTTGTCTGAAAAAGACTGTATCCTTCTTTCATATATGATGCTTAGTTTTGCTGGATACAAAATTCTTGGCTGATAATTGTTTTGATGGAGGAGGCTGAAGATATGGCCCCAGTCTTTTCTAGCTTGTAGGGTATCTGCTGTTAATCCTGACAGGTTTTCCTTTATAGGATACCTGGTATTTTTGTCTCATGTTTTCCTTTATAGGTTATCCGATGATGTTTTTGCAATGAATTTCCCAGGTGTTCTTTGAGCTTCTTGTATTTGGATGTCTAGGTCTCTAGCAAGGCCAGGGAAGTTTTCCTTGATTATTCCCCCAAATATGTTTTCCAAACTTTTAGATTTCTCTTCTTCCTCAGGAACACCAATTATTCTTAGATTTGGTCATTTAACATAATCACAGCCTTCTTGGAGGCTTTGTTCATATTTTCTTATTCTTTTTCCTTTGTCTTCGTTGGATTGGGTTAAGTCAAAGACCTTATCTTTGAGCTCTGAATTTCCTTCTTCTACTTGTTCAATTCTATTGCTGAGACTTTCCAGATCGTTTTGCATTTCTATAGTATGTCCAATGTTTCCTGACGTTTTAATTGTTTTTTCTTTATGCTATCTATTTCCTTGAATATTTCTCCCTTCACTTCTTGTATTGATTTTTGGATTTCCTTGCATTGCGCTTTGCCTTTCTCTGGTGCCTCCCTAATTAGCTTAATAACTAACCTCCTGAATTCTTTTTCAGGTAAATCAGGGATTTTTTTCTTGGTTTGGATCCATTACTGGTGAGCTAATGTGATTTTTTAGGGGAGTGCCAAAGAGCCTTGTTTTGTCATATTACCGGAGTTGGTTTTCTGGTTCCCTCTCATTTGGGTAGGTTATTATTGAATCTTAGTGTTTTGGTGAGCCTGTATCCTTGGACTGTGAACTTCACAAATGCTTCTTAGTCTTTCCCTTCCCTCCCCTTAGGTGGAACAGCTAGAGTGACTACAGCTGGGATCTCCCTACCTTTAGGTCAGTTAGGCTCTGAGGAAAACCTAAGTAATTTAAGCTCTGGTAAAATAGTTTCCCCGGGCAGGCCTCGTGAAGAAAACTAGAACATTTTGGTATATTTAAAAATTACTTTTCTTCTACCTCTTTTGGAAGGATGAAGAGATGTTTCTCCAATATTTACTGTAAGAACTTGGTTGAGCTCCTGGAGGTAAAACTCACAAAAGTGCGTGTGTTTTGGGTGTGGGGGGAGGGGGCACTTGACAACTGGGCCCCACTGGAGTTTTTCGTCCCTCAGACTTGTCCACACTGAGCCTCCAGCAATTTGTCAATTACAGTGCAGGGTTTCCCTCCTCCTGGCACTGGTTCTTACAGAGGTTTCTGCTTGTGGGTTTCTGCTCTGCTAAGTTGTGATTCTTTCTGTTTGCTTGTCTGTCTCTCTGACTTTGGGGGCAGTAGTTTTGCCCTGTGACTTCATTTGTCTGAAAGACCTAATAAGAGTTGTTGGTTTGTTTTTTTTTTTTTTTGAGATGGAGTCTCGCATTGTTGCCTGGGCTGGAGTGCAATGGCACGATCTCGGCTTGCTGCAACCTCCGCCTCCTAGGTTCACGTGATTCTCCTGCCTCAGCCTCCCAAGTACCTGGGATTACAGGTGCCCGCCACCACACCCAGCTAATTTTTTGTATTTTTAGTAGAGATGGGGTTTCACTATGTTGGCCAGACTGGTCTCGATCTCCTGACCTTGTGATCTGCCCGCCTCAACCTCCCAAAGTGCTGGGATTACAGGCGTGAGCCACTGTGCCTGGCCGAGTTGTTGGTTTTTTAGTTTGTTCAGCTTTTTACTTGTTAGAATGAAGTGATGAATGCCGACCTCCTTACTTGCCAGACTAGAAACTGGGAGTCTCCTATTTAGCCGTCCTTAAAAATTGTAAGCTGGACATTGTTGGTGATGCATCGTAGCAATTCTGATTTCTGTTATCTGAGAGTGTTGGGGATTTTTGTTTTCACTGGCAGTTAATCAGTAGTCGATTCCCTTGAACTTATAAAGCCTTAGTTTTACACTTTGTTAGGATGAGTCTTTCAGATTTTTCCCTTGATCTTAGGCAAATCCCTCAGTCCTGGGACACAGTGTCTACTCCTAGCATGAACTGTTTGTCAAAGCTCACATCACTGCCTTTTACTGGCAATGAAGAATAATCAAGTTCTACTCCAAACTCAAGGCAAAGACAACAACTATTAATCTCTACTGATCAACTTGACTCTCAGGCACAGGAGGAAATCCAGTAATAAAGGGTTGTCTAAAGGCTTTGAGATCTACTCATTCTCCTAAATATTTCAAATTTTATTTCTGGCCAGATTGGACCAGAAGCCTGAATCCTTAGGTGGTATGGCTTTGCCCCTATAGATTTCCTTGGACTGAGTTGCATGTTGGCACCTGCTCTCATCATATAGTAAAGGATGTGATAAGAAGTCGTCAGTGGAACCATCCTAATATCAGTTTTGTTTTTTGTAAGAATGCCAGTGAGCATTCTATCCTACAGGGTCCACTGTAGGAGAAGGAGCCACTGGAAGAATTTCTCTCAGATCTTAGTGTCAGAAAAAGCTCTGCTTCTCCTGAGCAACTGATAAGTTTCTATCTCATTAATGTTTGGCTGCTGCTAAGCTCAGAAGCAAAGTCAGTGTTTAGGAACTCTTGTAATTTTGAGGGCTATCTTTTGCCTTAATTCCCTTTGTTTATTTAATTATGTTATATTTATTTCCATCAGACACCTTAACTACTTTTTCTATAGCAAAGGCAACAACAACAACAACAACAAACACACACACACACACACACACACACACACACACACACAAAAGTCATCGGAATCATGAAGAGCCAAGGAAGCTGCTGTCATTCCAAACATTTTTGTCCTTCCTCTTCTAGATGGCTTTCACAGCCAGATTCGAATCCACATAAGACTGTCATCTTCAACCCAAAGTGAAATTCCTCACCTACCTTTCTACTTGATTCACCAATTGGTAGTCAAGAAATCGATTTTCAAAAAAATCAAATTTACTCTTAAAGGGCAGAGGTTAAAGATACTTAAAAAAATTATATCCTGGCTGGTGCGGTGGCTCATGCCTGTAATCCCAGCACTTTGGGAGGCCGAGGTGGGCAGATCATGAGGTCAGGAGTTCGAGACCAGCCTGGCCAACATGGTGAAACCCCATCTCTACTAAAAATACAAAAAGTAGCCGGGCGTGGTGGCGGGTGCCTGTGATCCCAGCTACTCAGGAGGCTGAGGCAGGAGAATTGCTTGAACCCAGAGGCAGAGGTTGCAGTGAGCCGACGATTGCGCCATTGCACTCCAGCCTGGGTGACAGAGCAAGACTCCAACTTGAAAAAAAAAAAACAAAAAACAAAAAAAAATTATATCCTGATTTTGTGTCAATAAAGATACTTGAATGAATGTTCTACTGGCTCTGAAGGCAAGTTCAAGGAGAACTTCCAAATCGTTTTAAGCTGGGTGCAGTGGCTCCTGCTGATAATCCCAGCATTTTGGGAGGCTAGGACAGGAGGATTGCTTGAGGCCAGAAGTTCGAGACCAGCTTGAGCAACATAGCGAACCCTGTCTCTGGTGGGGGGGCGGGGGGAAGCTGGGTGTGGTGGTGTATGCCTGTGGCCCCAGCTACTTGGGAGGCTGAGGTGGGAGGATCGCTTGAGCCCAAAAAGGCTGAGGCTGCAGTGAGCTAGGATCATGCTACTGCATTCCAGCCTGGGCAACAAAGCCAGACCCTGCCTCAAAAAACAAAAACAGAAATGAAAAAGCAAAACATTTTGGACCACAGGATCATCACTGGAAGGAGCAAATAGATTTCTCAAGGTCATTTCTTTTTTTTTGTTTGTTTTTTTTGAGACGGAGTCTCACGCTGTTGCCCAGGCTGGAGTGCAGTGGTGCGATCTCGGCTCACTGCAAGCTCCGCCTCCCGGGTTCCCACCATTCTCCTGCCTCAGCCTCCTGAGTAGCTGGGACTACAGGCGCCCGCCACCGCGCCCGGCTAATTTTTTGTATTTTTAGTAGAGACGGGGTTTCACTGTGGTCTCGATCTCCTGACCTTGTGATCCGCCCGCCTCGGCCTCCCAAAGTGCTGGGATTACAGGCTTGAGCCACCGCGCCCGGCCAAGGTCATTTCTCTGACAGAGAGAGCCATCATTGGAACATTTGGTTATCTGGTATGTCTGCATTAATGTATAATCACTTGCAGCTCTCGTCTTTACAACATAGGGCAACTGTCAGGGTTAGCGAGGTGTTTGTTGTCATTCTCTCTCTAGGTGGAGCCAGAGCATGTGATGGGAGCATCGGGCCTGAGCTGCAGCATAAGCTTCCTCTGATTTTCAACCTGGAAGACGATATCGCAGAAGCTGTGCCTCTAGAAAGAGGTGGTGCGGAGTACCAGGCCGTGCTGCCCAAGGTCAGAAAGGTTCTTGCAGACGTCCTTCAAGACATTGCCAATGACAACATCTCCAGTGCAGATTACACCCAGGACCCTTCAGTAACTCCCTGCTGCAATCCCTACCAAGTTGCCTGCCGCTGTCAAGCCCCATAACAGACAAGGAGGAATATCTGGGAATTAGGCAAGTTTGTTTCCAAACTTCATTTTTACCCTCTTTACAAACACACGCTTTAGTTTAGTCTTGGAATTTGGTTTTGGAGTTAGCCTTGCATATCCCCTCTGTATCCTGTCCCTCCTCCACGCTGGCCTGAGAGCAGCTGAGCCGTGCTGGCTCTGGGCAGGGAGTGTGCCCTAATGGGAAGCACACGGGCTTTGGAGTCAGGCACAGGTGCCGGCTGCAGCTTTTGAACTTGGGCAATTGTTTAACCTAACCTGCAAGTTGATTTTGAGGGTTAAATAAAGGCATACATGAAAATGCCTGGCACGTTACCTGACACAGAACAGATATTCGATACATTTTAGTTTCGTTGTTTCTCTGGTTCCCAGTGTCTCTGGTCATTTTCGTGTAAATCCATTCTAATTAGTATCTAGGGCAGAGCTTCTCTATTTTTTTTTTCCTTCCACACACCAGTGTACTCACTGGTCTCCATCTTTAACATGCAAACAAATCACCTAGGATCTTGTGAGAATCTGGATTCTGTCTCAGTAGGTCTCGAGTGGAGCCTGAAATCCTACATTTCTAGCAAACAGTGCACAGATTTAGACCAAAGTTAGGTCGCTTTCCAGATCTCAGAGCAGACGAGTCCATGGGTAAGTCTGTGGCCCAATCCCCTTCCTCTCCTTTTAAGGGTGAAACGATTGTATTTAAAAGATGTTAAAGAGTTCTTCCTGTCCCCTATTACCACGAGGAAATAAAAAAATATTAAAACCTCAAAAATGCATTGCCATGATTTTATTATTAGTGTCCAAAATGGGACTCCCAGTAATAAATGATTTATTCCAGTCACAGCCAAAAAAGACTTTGCCTGGCTAAAATAGTTTCTCTTAAGTATGTAATATACAAGAAATACAATTCAAAGAGATGTTCCTATAAGTACATTTTTTACACAGCATATATTTAAAAAGGAGGCCCCTTTTAATATAAAATTCTGGTTATATACCAATATGGTTAATTAGCATTTACACTATGGTTTGAACATATTTTAAATAGCATAATGTGTATACAATGTCTCCCACGCCCACTGGCAACCAGGGTCGTGGGAAGCTTGGTGAGGAGTTAACCAGGTCCTGTGGTTTAAGCAGTGCAGCACCCGGGATTCCTGCCCCCCTTTCTGCTCACACAATTGCACTCCATTCTTCCACCTTCCTTGTTTTCTCCAAAACCACCTGATAGGGGGATGTCCTGATTTCTGAGGTGTGCTTCTCATCATGACTGCTTCGTTTTGCCCTTCTGATTTCCACGGCACAAGATTATCTACCAAAATCAAAACAGAATGGCCTTACTCTTCTCAGAAAGAGGCTGGGAGGCAGGTGCATTATGAACAGGTCTGTGCCCATGCAGAGTGAGCAGGGAGAGGCTGGGCACTGTGGAATTTTTCTATCTGACCTCGCTCATGGCCACAGAACAGTCACCCAGCTTATTTAGATGTAGACAAGTATGACACAGTTCTAGCAAATACTGACTGTATAAAAATATCTGTGTGTGTGTATGTATTTATATGTATATGTATATATTTTTTAAAGGCTCATCTTACTTGTAAACATGGACTGCTCAATCACTATTAAAAAGTCTGTTTAGGCCGGGCGTGGTGGCTCAAGCCTGTAATCCCAGCACTTTGGGAGGCCGAGATGGGCGGATCACGAGGTCAGGAGATCGAGACCATCCTGGCTAACACGGTGAAACCCCGTCTCTACTAAGAAATACAAAAAATAGCCGGGCGAGGTGGCAGCGCCTGTAGTCCCAGCTACTCGGGAGGCTGAGGCCGGAGAATGGCGTGAACCCGGGAGGCGGAGCTTGCAGTGAGCTGAGATCCGGCCACTGCACTCCAGCCTGGGCTACAGAGCGAGACTCCGTCTCAAAAAAAAAAAAAAAAAAAAGTCTGTTTAGGCCAGGTGCGGTAGCTCACGCCTGTAATCCCAGAACTTTGGGAGGCCAAGGTGGGTGGATCACTAGGTCAGGAGTTTGAGACCAGCCTGGCCAACATGGTGAAACCTCATCTCGACTAAAAAATACAAAAATTAGCCGGGTATGGTGGCGCGTGCCTGTAATCCCAGTTACTCAGGAGGCTGAGGCAGGAGAATCACTTGAACTGGGAAGGTGGAGGCTGCAGTGAGCCGAGATCGCACCACTGCACTCCAGCCTGGGCGATGGAGCAAGACTCCATCTCAAAAAAAAAAAAAAAAAAAAAAAGTCAGTTTAGGCTGGGTGCAGTGGCTCACACCTGTAATCCCAGCACTTTAGGAGGTTGAGGTGGGTGATCACCTGAGGTCAGGAGTTCGAGACCAGCCTGGCCAACATGGTAAAACTCCGTCTCTACTAAAAATATAAAAATTAGCTGGGCATGGTGGCATGAAATCCCAGCTACATGGGAGGCTGAGGCACTAGAATCACTTGAACCTGGGAGGTGGAGGTTGTAGTGAGTGGAGATCACACCAATACATTCCAGCCTGAGGGACAGAGTGAGACTCTATCTCAAAAAAAAAAAAAAAAAAGGTAAGGTCAGTTTATACCCTTGGGCTTGATTTCCTGACTCTTGCTCACAAGATTGGGACTAGTCTCACAAAATACAGAGACTTGTACATGTTGGATTGTTCCTGAAACAAAAGCTTCTCATCCTCCTGAATGAAGCAGCTTTCTAAGGCACCAGAAATGATCAAGTCTCTTTTCTTTCACTGCTCTCGGAGCAAAAGAGGCAAGCGTGATCAGTATATGAAGTGTCAGTATATGTTCTAAAAAGATCGCTAGTGATGAGCCGCCTTCTTAAGGTGGCGGCTCACAGAGCTCCTGCAGCAGACTACTCAGGCAAGGCTGTATGTGTGTTGCTGCAAGAGAGGCGATTTTAACCAAGCTGAGACTCCAAGAGCCTTTTGTGGTCCTAGCAGATTTTAAGGAATGTGAGTAAAGATGTGAATTCTGCACAGAGATTTGCAATAGGCATAACAATTCAGAATAAGAACACAGAGAGGAAGTTCCCCAGCATCCCTCATTGAACATTTCTGCCAATTCAGGCATGACTGAGATGGGCCATGTTGACAGAGCATCCCAGGAGCACGCGTGCCTCTGGTCCTTACGTGATGAGATGGAGAAGCCTGCCGGCTACTGAGACAGTGCCTTAGTGGGAGCACTGCCCCTCATCACCATCTGCCTGCAGGCTGGAGGGCAGGCTGAGAGGTTGGTGGCTGCCACGACACAGCCCTGCACACAGGGGCTGCCCGACACTCACAAGGGTCTAACACCCATTCTAGGGACCTTGTTCGGTGACCACTCTCACTGGCAGGAAGTATTTCTTGTGTATAAATAAGAATTCCTGATGCAATTTCAACCAACCTTCTCTCATTTGGTCCTCAGGAGGGAGAAGAAACAACTGGCTCATGCCCAGCTTCCTGGCACTGAATGGGCACACAGGCCTCAGGACAAACTTTCTCACTGGTTCTTCAATTAAGCACCTCCCCTTTTCCTTTTCACCCCAAATCAATGATCTGCACAAGGTACCTATTATTTTATACAGGTTCTTTGGCAAGGAACTACCTCCTAGATGCCAATATCCAAATTACCCCAATTCTGTAAATATAAGAGGTTGCAAGGTTTACTGTGATTACAATGAAGAATCTGATAATGTTTTATAGTAATCACAGACGTTTACCAAAATTAGTGAAACGGAACCTAGTAAGTGTCTGGATGCGGTAAACCCTGACAGAGTAGAGAGGCCACATTTGTCCCCACAGTGTCTGACCGAGAGTGCTCTGGTTCGTGGAAGACTCAACTTCAGGTAAATAACCACTGCCTTTTGAGGGTGCAGAAAAACACCCTTTAAGGCCAGTTGGGGCCATGAGAACCCAAAGGTAAAACACCTGGTTTATAGTTAGGCAGCATGCCAACAGAGGTGTTGACGTTTATAATTAGTATTTTTAAGAACAACTGCTCTCTGCCACTAAGATATAAACTTCACTTGCCAGCCACGTCTCTGACAACCTGCCTCTTGAAAGCCACAAATGTAAAAGCTCACGCTGTGATCCACGAGCCGATGTGGGAGATCACAAACAACAGCTCCCAGCCCTGCACTCGGGGCCCCACGGCAGCTTTGTTTTCTAAGCCAAATGTGCTCACTAGAGGGTTCCTACGGATCTGCCGGAGAAAGAAGCCAGACCTGCACTCCAGCCTTTTACAATTGGAATCTCAACGGACACAAACCATGATCAGGAGACATTTCCATAACAAAGCCTAATGGGCATTGCTTCAGTGCCCGAGTGGCGGCTCCTCTCTGGTTCTAGGAGTTGATGCTCCAAGTCTTGGCCCAAACGCTACTTCCGGCCAGGAGTGGTGGCTCACGCCTATAATCCCAGCATTGTAGGAGGGCCGAGGCGGGTGGATCACTTGAGGTGAGGAGTCTGAGACCAGCATGACCAACATGGTGAAACCCCATCTCTACTAAAAATACAAACTATTAGTTGGGCGTGGTGGTACACACCTGTAGTCCAGCTGCTCAGGAGGCTGAGGCAGGACAATTGCTTGAACCCAGGAGGCAGAGGTTGCAGTGAGCCAAGATCACGCCACTGCACTCCAGCCTGGGCGACACAGCAAGACTCTGTCTCAAAAACAGAACAAATCAGTACGTCCATCTCGCAATGATTTCAGGTTGACTATCTGGGATGTTTTGACTGAAACTCACAAGAGCGGTCTGTGTTACTCCAGATGGGAGCTTGAAGAATGGGAAGTTGAGGAAGCCCTGGCAGGCACTCAGGAGAGAATCTTGTCTTCAGTTGCAGGTGGTGGGAGAAGCCACGCCCAGCACTCAGCCAGCACTCAGGGCCCTAGCTGTGGGAACAGCCTGAGCAGGTTGCTGGGAAACCCAGCTAAAGGTGCTTGGGCAAGCTCCTGCGCTGCACCTCCCACCCTCCACAGAGCATACAATTGCTTTTCTTTTCTTTTCTTTTTGAGATAGAGTCTCACTCTTTCACCCAGGCTGGAGCGCAGTGGCACAATATAGCTCACTGCAGCTTCGACCTCCCAGGCTCAGGTGATCCTGCCACCTCAGCTTCCAGAACGGCTGGGACTACAGGCATGTGCCACCACACTCGGCTAATTTTTGCCTTTTTATTTTTGGGTGGAGATGGGGTTTTGCCATGTTGCCCAGGCTGGTCTCTAACATCTAGGCTCAAGCGATCCTCCAGCCTCTGCCTCCCAAAGTGCTGGGATTACAGGTGTGCGCCACTGCACTCGGCCAGTTGGTTCTTAATGAGTGTCTGCAACTGCTGGGGAGGTGCAGGTCTGCCAGTCAGAGCTGCAGGTAAGTGAGGGTCAAGCTGGTCCGCAGAGTGCAGCAGCTCAGCTCAGAGTCCTGAACACACAGCCCAGCGCTCTGAAACCATCCCCTCCAGCACAAGGAAAGCAGCATTCTGCAAAAGCATCCACGGAAGCCTCAGGAAAATAAGTTTTACGCAAGGCACATATTCCTACCTTCTAGGCAGCAAAGTCAATGCCACAGGAGCAAAATAAGAGATTCCAGGCCTCTGGCTGGAGGGAGGTCACCAAGACTCCCTGGATTAGTGACTCTAATGCCATCAGGGTTTAGCTCGACACCTAAAGGCTACTCTGTAGGATTCAAAGCACACAGTACAACAAATATCCTAGGGCTTTCCAAATACCAGAGCAGAGGATTAGTTGGTATAGACTAGAAAACAGGGAAAGGGACTCCGCCTCTCGTATGAGGCGAAGGT